AATCGTTAAGGCAGCGACCGTTACCGTTGGTCTCATTTTAGATGGTTTTGAACCAAGAATTCACCTTTTTTTTATATTCATCTTTATTAAATTATCGTTGTTCTCAAATATTGTTATAAAATGTGATTACTCATACAAGAGTAAACACGTTAGCGGCATTTAGCGAGTGTTTCTAAAAAGTAACGTAGATAAAACTAGTCTGCCCCTTTAGCATATATCTCAGTTGCATTTTTAGGTAGCTTCTTAAACCTGTTATTCGGTAACACGTCATCTTACGTTGTCACACACCGCAATGAGGAAACTGAAAGCTTAATAATAATAACATGTTTTCATGGAGAGTTGTCTGTGAACAATATTATCTGTACGGTAATTATACAGAATACTACCCTATAATGTTTGCCATTCCTTACATCGTTAAATTATAGTAGATGTATTAGGAATTTCCCTTCCTTAATGCAAACAAGGTAACATTGACTTAGCTAATGGTTGGCTACTAAAAGAAGGGGCAGCGCAAAATTTGTATACAAAGCTCCCCATGTTAAATAAAGCTTGTAACTTTCTACCTTATGTTTAATCATTTTACTTCTTCGTAAACTCTTTTTAGTTTGTCTACCGATTATGTTTACCTTTATTAATGCTAAATAATAGCCAATTCATATATAGTTCAATCATTGTGCAACATCTTCTCTGCTTAGAGGAAACGATTACTGCGCCGTATCTTACAATACAGCCAAACAATTTATCGTGCGTTGAAAACAATGAACCTTATAGTGGCAACTTGTCACTTAACGATACTGTGGCGGTGGATCAAAGAAAGCATCGTGTAGAATATCCAAGATGCGATACCCTGACCTTTGATATGCTACATTAATTTTCCATGAGAAGTGCCCTAAATAGAGATTCCCATAGCGAAATATCTTCCTTACATAAAGAAAAAAACAAACAGAAAAGGCAATTATCTTCTTTTCATGATTTGTCAGCTGAGCGATCCGCGTGAGATACTCACCAATTAGCCCTGCATGGCATCGCTTAGTCAAAAATATTTGTAATTGTTCCTCTCGTCGCACTTCGATTTGATGCTGAAGATTGGTGCTTTAATAGCATGCTTTCATGGAGTGCCTAAGGAGTATTCATGTCGGATATTTAGGACCCTATGTAAAAGCTACTAGAGTTGTATCCTAGCGATACACGTTGCAACGGCCAGGATGATGCGCCTTACTTTTTTCACATCTGTTTGTTACCAAGAAAACATAACGATAACGTGAATCTTTGCAGCCAGTCACGTTTGGCCAATAAAAAGTCTACTTGCGACGTGGTTTTCATTTTTGTTACAATTATCGATGGACCACATCCGCAGCGACTTGCTCCTGCGAAAGTTCGCCGGTCTCATACACCCTAAGCCCGTCCTGAATCCGCGACCATTTATGGTGCCTAGTTGATGAGCTGCTATATTAGTCAATAGCATTGAGCCAAGAAATCCTGTCCAAGCGATCGATGAAGTTCCGGCGTTTCAATCTTATTGCATGGAACAGAGCATCGGGAAAAATGATAACCAACTGGCGAACACCACTGTATATACGTAAAATTGGACAAAACAGTAACAGCATAAAAATAGAAAAATAAACTCAAAGCTAAGTTTCTTTCTCGCTTACCTGTTACTGCCGTAGAGTAAAACAAAAAAAATTGTGACATACATTTGTGAATAATGTGAACAGCTGCGAATGCGTAAACGTAACCGCAGATATTGTACGATATGAGTAAATAATGTATGATACGATTATTTCAACAAGTGGTTTACAACCTGTTAAGTTCTTTAAGTATTCTCTTTAGCTGCTTGCATTTTTTTTTTACTTACTACAAATTTGGTCTTATTTAAATTCGTTTTTATTCCAGAATCTGATGCGATCTTGCAGACGATTGGTAACAACTGTGAGAGTAGACAAAGATGAACCTATAGGTGGTACCAAATACGGTATTCACATACAGAACGCCTACTGCCTTTCTCATTGTTAAGTATTGTCGTATGATTTGACGTTTAGGTCTTCAGTTCAGCTTTACACGACACAAACAAAATAAACACAACACATTAGCTATTTTCGAAATTAGGCTTCGCATGATACCGATTCGAATTATGGCTAATGCGTGAAATCGTCGTTACAGACCAGCCCAGCTTTATAAGGGCCGATGCTTTTAGTGTTCTAATTAAAAACAGACGTAATATATAAATTATAAATATACATAGAAGTCTTTCTGGTTTTCGCATAGTTTGTTCAGTTGCTATAATAGAACATAATTAGCAGGGCATCGCGATCAGCTATTTTGAAGTGTTTTTTTTTCTTTTGATTAGAGTAAAGTCTTAATTGCGCTAGCCAACAATACTCACCTGCTGATTTTGCGTTAGCGTCTGGCAAAGAGACACCTGCACTTAGAGTATGAGGAGCGATCCGATTCGATAGCGTAGCGCTCAACATCAAGAATTGCCACATGCGTTCTATTTATACGTTTTTCTACGTATACGTATATTTACATAGATACGGTTCTTGTAAATCAATCACTTTATAGATAATCTCTGTGTCGTATAATTAGGATTAGCTAAAGTCAAATTGTAATAGACGTGATCCGAATGTGACTGAACAGCTTCGTATTGTTTCCGGAAATCGTTTCCGGAAAACACAATCCCTTCATACTTAGTATTCGCTTCGTCTGCATAGGGCAACGAGATGACTGGATGAAGCTTTTTACCCATTCCCATCACAAGCGTTAGCCCACATAACGAGCACGAATGCAACACACACACGTGCGTCTTCTATAACAATTAGATAGAGGAGTATTATTTTTTGACTGGTACAAAATCATTTTTAGAGGTTTCCGCCATAGAGTTTCACACCGCAAACACGAGGTTGACCGACGACTACATAGGGGAAATAATGTTAAAAGAAAAAAAATAACTTTTATTTACGATCTTCTTTTACTTGTCGACTAGTCCTGCCGCTGATCGAACGCTTTTGTATCCATTTACTGTGACGTTATGGTTTATCGTTGTACTGTTTAATGTTACTTTTTTAAACATTTGCCTGTGTTCGCTGGAAGCGTACGATGCTGCAGTGGTATTCGCATTGGTTGATTAAGTGCATTTGAAACTAGCCGTTTTTCGAAACAGTCTCGGACCCGCCATTCGTTTTCTGTCGACTTTCGTCTGGGGGTACAACTCGCTGTCCCCATTGTCGTCCTATTGTATCGCCTGTTGTTACGGCAAAAATGAATACAGCAACTGTTGCCGATCTATGCTATTAGGTCGCTTAAAATACGGGTGCGAAATTTATACTATTGTTATTGTTATCGTAAAAAGTAGTTTTGTTCAGTCATAGTCGTCTAACGACGGAAAGTGCTTTGGCCGGTTGTACAGCCAGGACAAATGTATCAGCTGAGTTTCCTCTTTGACTAAGACGATTACTTTCGCTGTTGGCCTTAATGAGATTAAAAGTAAATCGCGTTTTTATTATGATAACTGGGAAGTAAGGACCTCCTGTTAGAAAATAGGAAAGAGTAATTATCTACCGGTAACCACCATGTGCCCCTTCGCGCATGGTACAGGGCATAAAACCAGAGTGAACACGAACAGCAGAGGCGTTGTTTCATGATCTTTAACTTTGATTTAGTCCAACGTTATTTAACTATGGTGATTCGTGAATACATTTCGTACTTAAAAATCATGTATTTATTTAGTTAAACTCGACGGATAAACTGGCCGGTGCATCCTAAATACGAAACAGATTTCGGACACATATTTATTTCGAATTAGACAAATTCTGTGATGAGAATGAACATTGATAATGAGATCTTAATTGTAAATTATGTTTTAACTCAACGGTTTTTTTTTCGAGATACAACCTGCATCCTAGAAGTTCCAATAGATATTTGGAAACATCTATTAGAATTTGTCAAATGTGTAATTAACGAATAATTAATTCCTACTTCTTTATAACGCAGAGGCCGAAACAATCGTTGCGATGTACTAGAAGGCTTGCTTTGCTAGCACAACATATCCGTTTTTGTGTGTATGCGTTATGACTTACATTTTCCTACAAGTGAAATAGGCTCGAGTAGGTTTTAAGCGAAAAAATCAATCGTTTCAAAGGTTTCAACAAAAAAAAAAAAGACAATTTCAGAAGATTTGGTGATCTACCAAAGCTTAACGATGCTAAAAACAAAATGTAGCTACTAAACGAGTACTTCGCCTTCGCGTTTCTACACGCTTAATACGTTTCTGCATATTTCTTTCTAATGTGATTCAAACGTTACTACTTACACAATCATCTAGTTGTTAGTGATGTTAGTCGTTCGCCTCGTGTTTAACTCATATTTTCGGTACGAAAATGTGTCTGTACGTCTTGTAAGTGGGGAAATACAAAGCTCTCGTTAATAGGTGAAAAGTTAACTTGGAAATTTCAGGTAGAACAAAAGGGCTTATAAAGATCTCGGGAGAAATATTTGAACACAGGGTGCCTATAAACGACGAATCATTAGTATGATATTTAGATGATATTATTGCAAAAAGCGAAAAGTTTTCTTATTATACCTATGCTTTTAGAAAGACTATCAGCCATATTACAGTATATGTCTCTTAACATTGCATTGGTTAGTCATGCGTTGAATAGGCGCTTTTGATTGTAAGATCCATTGTAAAACATATATAGATACTTGTCACTTCTGCATGTTGACTTCCTGTGTTGACACAAACAAAAAATGTAAATAAATGTCATTAAAGAAAATCGTATACTTACTTCGATGTAATAGACCATAAACGTTAACATTGCTTCGTAGTCTTTCGCAATGCAGGGTAAGTTGGTTAGGGTCAATAAGCAATACTCATATCTGTTTTTTTTGTTATCGGGACTCATCTAATTCAGGCTTGAATATAACACAAGCAGGATTTCATGGAAAGAGGAACTTTTCTATCCCAGCCTTGCTTTCAATTAAATGTTGCACTTCCATTCCAGAATATTCTGTCTCGTGCCCACGGTATTCGTTCCCTGGGATCCGCATGCATGAATATGGTTATGGTTGCTGGGGGCAATGCGGACGCTTACCAGGAATTTGGACTCCATTGTTGGGACATGGCGGCTGCAAAGCTAATCGTAGAGGAAGCCGGGGGCGTCGTGATGGACATGAACGGTAAGTGGCAGCAGCACTACCTCGCATGATAATCTCTCTCTCTCTCTCTATATATATATATATATATATATATCCTTCTGCTTAATCCAGAAAGTAATTAAGGCATGGCGTTAAAATGTGGCGACGACATTAAGTGACCAAGCTGTGTGCTTGTTGTACTAACTATTTATATGAGTCCTTTGAAAATTTCTTTTCAAGATAGCGTCTGTCGCCACGTGGCAGTAAAGTTTGGATGGTATCCTGTCTACGGCTATTCAGGCAGGTTTCTTATCCATTAAAGATTTACACGTGGAATAGGCCACATGCGTTTCTAACTGGCCTGGAGTCAATACATGGGGAACCTATTTTTTACTCAGTTCCCGCATTCTTACGTTACCTATGAAATGCCAGTTATGGCCGACATAGTCCTAAAACTTTGAGCTCTTCTTCTGTGAAAAGCCTCCTTGATTACCGCAATGCGTTCGTCCTTCGGATCTTGGCATCTGGTAATTTCGTCGCTGGTCGTCAACACTCCAATATCAAAATATTTTTTTTGTCTAATGTGTTCTACATTCTCCGATAAATTACCGCATCGCTGTGGCGTCCGAAAAACAAATATTTGGCCTCTGAAGGCTGTTTTTCCTTTTAGACTTACGTCTCCGGAAGTAAACAACCGGTTTCTACTCACCAGTTTCTAGAAGTCCGGACTGTTTACCAGCCGGATTTCGTTTATCATTTTCGCTTGGAACGGCCTGATATATCTACCAGTCTATTCCTACTCAGAGTTGCTTGGTGACTAGCAGAGACCATAAATATTAATAGACGATCGCCGTATAATAGCTGATGATAAATCAATATTAGAAAATTTTAGATCATTTGATGAGCATTAAGGTCGACTTAAAAAAATACGACACTTTTATTGTAACCACCTTCCTGTCAATGACATATATATTTTATTTTTTTTTTATTTTATTCTCAACCAGTAAAACAGTCTGTGTACAAGCAGTTAAAGCTGCGGCCGATACCTTGTACCGTCCTTACCTTTTGAATATGCAATGGCAATGTACTTTTGAGGTCATCTACATGCAGATGTTGAATAGATCAGTCGCGTCAACGATGATCTGCTCTGTACATTTAGTTTAAAGGATAAAGCAGACCCAGATGGTAAACCGGTTTCACTTTCTTTTATGCGCTGTGATCTTCATCTGTCATGGCAGATGTCATCCTGAAGATTAACCACAGTATGCTACTACCAGAGCCGCGAAGAAAGCTTGCATTGATACTTCAAGGAAACTCCATAGTTTAAAAATTATCTCTCATGCACGCGTTTTTTCTGGACTTGACCTTTGCAGTGGCGTAGAGATACAGGATGCCTATAAACTTGTATCTTTTAACCTTTGTGAATTAAGCACGTCCTTTGCACGCAAGCTACATTGTTCATTTTTCCTGGGAGAGAATAGGTGAAGCTGTAGCTCGATAATAATTTCGCAAAGGTCTTAAAACCTTCATTTTTGTGAGATTTACGAAGGATTCTAGTCATTTATGTACCTAGCAGTTTTCACTTCATATAATATGTTCTGTTTTTCGTTTTATACATACTTAGCTCAAATGAAATGTGCACGATCTATTCAGTGTTCATCCAGGTACATGTTAAGCGTTCTCTAGAAAAAGCGGAGAAATTTAAACAAACACGGTGTTTAAAAAATGTAAGCTAACTAAAATCGGAAAATTCCATCTCGAACTGAAGTCCTGGCCGAATTTGAAAGTATTTGGACGACCCACCGTACTCGAAATATGCTTTACTACCCCATAAGTAACAACGACCTGTTTGATCTGAGCTGAATAAATCTTAGGACAACTAGTGGTTTGTTTCGCCCATTTAGCCCATTTTCTCGACACGCACAATACGTAATGGTCCGAGGCACAGAAGCAACAAATGATCATAGTTCATCAATAAAGCGATCGTAAACAAATCATTTCAACTGTCAGGGTGTAACCCTATTTTGTGAGTCTTACTCGAAACGAAATGTCATAATTCATGCCTGTCATGAACCGAAAAATTGTATAAATAATTAAAGAAAGCCAACTGATAAGTCGATTTCGACTTAGCTGATTTTTGGCCGATACTGGTTACCTACTCACACCGTCCCATCAAATCCGTCCGTGCTTTAATTTGCAGCTACAACATTTGGTCTATTTACATTGCCACTATGATTATCTTAAGCAAATTTTCCTATTATATTCTAATATAGAACTAAGTATTTTTAGGCTATTGATATAGCCTTTATAATAAGTGTGCTAAATTTGTTGACTAGAAGTAATGGTGGTGTGACACAATATTGGCTATACATGATTATATGGATCGTTTATTACCGCTGGCTTGATTACAGTATAGTTTAACAGAAAGCTATATTGTATCAAACGTCATCGCGTTACGTACAGAATCTTCCATTTGTCAGCTCGAAATAAAAGAAAACGTAACTGAAAAGGAGTACGCAACACACGGCCCTACTAGAAGTTAAACAATGCAATAGTTGTTGATTAAACAGTGTTAGACGCGTCGTATTGAAGCAATGGCTAGAAAGCGGAAAATCCATTGCCGACAGCGCCTCCGCCTGCCCCTTCGTGCGATGCGCCAAAGCTTATCACTCCGTAAGAAAATATATTCTACCAGTGTCACATGATCGTGCCCTAAACTACCCTAACAATGATGAAGATCATTTCGCATTATATATTGGCCCGCAAAGCTTCCCGACTATATAAGTAGGTTCCAGTTGTCTGATATTTTCTTCGCGAGAAACATCTGTAAAAATAAGTTCGACGCTTATAACCTTAAAGCCGTCGAGGTGTGACAGGCAACATGTGTTGCCTGTCACACCTCGACGTGTGTTGCAACCCAGCTAAACTTTCTCAGCGGCTCTAGCTAACTTAACCGCTGTCAGAAGTTCGTACTTTCTGCGTTGAAAACACAGACTATACTTGATATATAATACATTTGTGACATTCGCCCATTGGAAATCTCTATGAAAATGCCAATTGGACGAATAAAATTAAGCAGCATCTGACGCATTCGAATACATAGATACGACTAACTCAGTATTCTTCCTAACGTTCTTGCGACCCTGATGAAGCGCAGGTGATCCCATCGATATCATGAACCGGCGTGTCCTGTGTGCTTCGACTCCTGAACTCGCCCAACAAATCATAAAACTGGTCCAATACATCGACTATGAAAGAGATTAAAAACAGGTAAATGGATGTTTCCGCAGAGCTGCCTTGTTGCAGAAGTTGGCTGTTGCAGATAATGACTGTTGTAGAAGACATCACAGCAGATTGCTCAACATAATAGGACACAGCTTTTTTCCTATTACTCCTACTCGGTATCACCGTTCTACATAGCATCGTTTGTTGCTTTAATTAAGAATTCATATATAATACGGCTACATAGGCGCATACTCTATCTATGTGTGCCATTGGATAATATGACAGAACTTCAATGGGTACTTCATAGGCAGCATTAGAGTGTCCTAATAGCGATATAATGATATATGCGTATGTATGTGTCTAGCCATATTTATTGAACCAAACGATATTATGGGGCAATTAATCATGTGTTTTTATATGGCGCGGTGCTCATGCTATCATCAAGATTCAATCTGATGACGAGTAATAATCACATAAACACCTATTCGCTAGATTAGATAAATATATCTGAGCAAATAGTGGTGTCCATAAAAATAGATACGGTTGCTTCACATCTTTTTGTTCATCAGAAATGGAAAGTCTTTTGCATGCAAATCGAAATAACGCTTCTCTATTCAAGTACGTACTTTCTAGGTCCATACTTGGACAATTACCAAATAGTTTGATTTTTAATCATAGGTAATCAAGTCAGCTTGTCTTAAGAAGTTTTATGTAATGTTTAAAGGCGGTACTAGAAGTTATTCTATTGAGAAGATAAACGATTTCTACATTTCAGATCTTTCATGCGCGTCGTTTGTTCAAGATAGCTATTTACGAAATCTTCAGCTGGCAACAATTGCACGGTATCTTAGAAACTGAGCCGGAATAAGCGGGCGTGTTGGTTGTCCTGGACACTGACGACAAGCTGGATCGACAATTAAACTTGATGTGATGAAATAAAAAATTACGAATTAACAATGTCACCTTTGGCCTATATGATGACCGCAAATTGTCCTGTACTATTTAATTAAAGAGATGCGTAGGTTTGCACGCATGGAGTGTGTAGCATGACTAACACACGTAGTAATAAATTGATGTGGCGTACTAGCTTTTTTGAATAATCTTTATTAAAACAACGTTGGCTACATAATCAGATGTATCGACATTGTTTGGTCTGTATCTACGCGCTGTGTCGTGGACTAGACCCTGGCAAAGTTGTAGTTGTAACTGTAGCAAAAATAGCGTAACTACAAAAAAAAGTTAAAAGCTACAATTGACGAGCTCTATCTTTCGTGGTTATCTCTAAGTGGCTAGGAGAGCAGACTTATATCAGGGCAAACCTAATGTGTCGGCCTCTCTTCTAATTACTAGAAGAGTTGTTTCACCGTATTGTTATGGTTATTTTGAGTAAGCCTATTTTCCATACCCTTAATCGTTTCTCGCATGAGAAACAAAGCGCAATTTGCTATCACACAACGGCCATCAAAAATGGCCTCATCTACATGTAGTCAGAGTCTAGAGAACGGAGGTTATCCCAGGTTGTTCTAGCGAGGTCACAGCAAAGGGAACAAGTTTCTCCTGAATCAGGATGGGTCAGTTCTCCAAAGGAAGACCTTTAAAGTCATATGCGTCGACGAGCCAGATTAGGGGGCAATAAATTTTATTGTAGTAAATAATGACTTGTCTGAGGCTTTGTTTTTCCTTTTTATCAACACATAGACTCCGCCTCCTATTTCAAAATTATCCTGTGTAGGGGCTCGACAGATGACGTATAGTCAGCTATGCAATATTATCCATCTTGCGGAAGCCTTCAAAAGTAACTATTACGGCTAGTCAAAGCCATTGAAGATTTCGATTCACACTGTTTATGATACCATAAGGAAGTCACAGATCGCGCCGATCAGCTGTAATGTAAATATCAGTAGGCAAACTGGGTGGCGGCAGTAGACAATTCCACAATGGGATGAGTAGGTGTGTTGTATTGTCTGCTAAATATGTTTTACACAGCAGGAAGACAAATCGGCGTAATTCACGATCGCTTGGACGGCGCATACCCGAGGTAACACTCTGGATGTTATTACTTGTATATTATATTAGAGCGAAGCCGATAGAGCGCCGCTACCTGCAGTACCCTCCGATGCCCGACTGACGTGTTATGGTCACGTCGTTCGTATTGGGTAACGCAAACTCATAGGCTGATCCGAGTCAAAATGCACCCATACCGGACGACGGGGTGGAGATTACTCATTTCGAAATCGAACGCTAAAAAGAAACAATATCATGTTATGGTAAGCTTATGAACGTTTTGAAACGAGAAATACGATATAAACGTGTGTTATATAAACTGATTTTTCTAAATAATTAGAACTACGTCAAATGTTGGTAAATTCACATATATGCCGCAATTACGTGGGTAAATAGGTACTGTGTTCAAGGTAGATTCCGATAAGTAAATTTAGAAACTTTCTTCATTCTGTATTTCGCAAATGAGCAGTTACTTAATTAAACTATACTAGAAATTATTAATGGTGACCATAAAGAGAGGTCTTGTCAGCAGTATGTTTGCCAGCTAACCAACTAATTGAATTGAATTGAGCTTTCCAGCTAATTATATGAAACCTGTTTAGTAATATTAAGCTAAAATTGTTGTTATTGTCAAATAATGATGATTTACACTTGAATTAAACTGAAGACAATAAGGCGCGTCCATGAACGGGCATGGTTTACCCGTGTACGTATATATATGCAGTGGCTTATACTTATCTTCTATGATGCATCTACTAAGGGTACGATCAGATTTCGTGTTTCACAGGTATACCTAGTGCATTTTTTTTGCATTTTTCTAAAATTTTTTAATACAATTTCACTTTACTGTTTATTTGGCCCTTCGCCGACTATTAGCCTGGCGAGGATCTGGAATTCTATTACGTTATTTTTGATTATTTTGTTAATTGGTCAGAGGGAAACCCACGCGAGGTAACGCTTCAATTGAATTGTTAAGGGGTTTTTGGGAGAGGTTCGTCTTTGATTGCACCTTATAAATAGAAAATTCAGGAGCGGTTAATTAATCACGTTCTCGTTAATGTTAGGCATTGTCCAAGTAGACGGACGCCTAAAGCCAATACCGACTGGAAATATGAACTCGCTGACGTGCTGACGTAATCATACGCACATATAAACAAGCACACATAAACCGAATGATTTTTTTTGTCTATAAACAACAATTCAAAAACACTAATGTTATAAAAATAGCATAACAATTGGATTCTGTAATAAAAGCGGATCTGTCTGTCGTTTTACGTAAACTTAAAATGATTTACAATTAGGTTGTAAATTTAAATCCAAACAAGTAACGGTCACGAATTGGTAAGCGATTAAAGGAACGAACGCTTCGTAGTTACGTTTCAATGGTCGTTGTAATATGAATATCATAGCCCCTCTATGGGGCCACAGTATTGTTACACAAACGAACGCTTGTAAGTGCAGCGGTAAGATTAGCGGACCAATTGAAAACTATTGCAGGTAACATTTGACACTGGCTTTTATTCAAAACTTCCTATTTGGACCTTTCATTGTTTCACCATCATGAACATAATACAATTCTACTCATCGCAGTGTTCCACTGGGAGTTTAACCAGTTTGGCCTGCATTAAAAGCCAGCTTTACGTTACGTTTGAATACAGTGATTGATAAATCTTCATATTGATCTTGGTGGCTCTCTTCAACAGAACACGTTGAATATTTAGCTGAGCCAAACGCAACAGGTGGTGCCGCAGATAATCGCCACGTAATGACCTGTTTTTTTCTTTTTAAGGGTAGAATGGACATCCGGCCACGCTATTTACGTCATTTGTGCTGGTTAATCATGAGACCCCGCAGTGGATAATATGCATAAAACTACTGCTTACTGCCTAACAAAACTTTTCCTTCAGAACAAAAAAAAATCAGTGATAGCTGCCTCCGACGTCACACAAGTACAAATATATGAAACACAGAATGGTATAATAATGATGACGATGGTGGTCCCGCTTTATCGCTATAAAATTTCTGTCTAATAGCTGAGTTAAGTGTCATCTTCTCTAGCCTTTCTATTCATCGGATAATGTAATTAGTTTACTTAACCTTTTTTGATACGAATCAGAGAATTCCTCAAGGGATTTGCTTCTATACGTCCGCTTCTAGTTGCGAAGGTAGACATTATAGGGCATAAAACGTTCACTCGATATACACTTACGGCTCAGAAGAGATGCGATCATTTAGCTAATATAATCTGCGTCGCCCTTCGACGCGAAAATGCATGTCCCAGGTGGAACTTCGTAAAGTTACTTTTTTGTTTGTTTCCATCAATTACATTATTTTGATATATGATTAGGCTACCCTTTACCTCTCTTCACCGATACAATTTGGTTTCTTTTTAAAACATTGTTATCGGAACGAACAGGTAAAGATGTTTGGACCGTACGACCACTTGAAGCAAACACTACTGAAACCTGCATAGATCGGTTAAAGTTTGCTCATACCCTGTCGAAAATCCTTAATGTTGCTGTTGCCCTTTATTTTTTCTAAATCGATGTTCCATTGAGAACCAATCTGAAATCATCTGCACATATTAAAAACAATTACTCACTACAAAACCACTTCCATTTCGTTTGAAGTAGTCCTTCATAAATTTCCATCCAAAATCCTTGTGTAGCTTGATGCCTTTTAATTCTTGACCCAGCCCATCTTGAGATCGTAATTATTTCATGTGCTACCTGTTCGACCAAATTATCCTTTAATGGCATCTGTGTCATAGTTGACGAATATTAATCTCTAATATTACCGCCTCCACCGCAATACCACCTCATAATGAAAGGAATCCATATTGGCGTGAAGGGGATCGACGCAGCGGATATTGTTGCCTCTGCCGCTGTATCCGTGTTAGCGAGCGATCTAACTGGCTCACTGATGACTTCTTTCATTTGTGTTAAACGTCAGATTATCAGAACACTTATGCAATGCTGATGTTAGTGCCATTTCAAAATTGCGGGCATATGAACCGTCGCGGGACCTTAAGGTGTTCTGTCTATCACGTCGCTCTTTCTGGTAACCTATGTCTGATTTATATCGGTAAGTATGGCCGACTCTTTTCTTTCAGTGCTATACGCCCGTACAAATTTATGGTCTTTGAAATGCGGGAGGCAGGAACGAGGCGGCGCGGGTCGACCGAGAAAATTGAGATTAAATGACCTGACAGATCCTGTAGCACTGTATTTGCCTTGTACTGGACAAATTAATGTTGTTTCCGTTGTTGGCGTTGCTGTTCTTTTACTTTCTGACAACAGATAAAGTCCGCATAGAAACAGGGCGATATCAGAGCGATGCCGAGACAAGGTCTAGCGTTCTATATGATTATCCAGAACAGTTGATCGACATTTGCCGCAGACAAACAGACACATTATAGTATTATCGACATATTTGGAGGCTCGTGGTAATCACCGCTGTGCGTTTCGTCCTTGTTACCATCAATAATGATAGTGTCTATTGTGTCCGTGGTGAAAGATACCTACCAGTGTAGCAGACATTCTTGTTTGCATCAGCCCCGCTAACATCGCTTCTCTTTCGGCGTACTTCTTTCAATGACCATTTGCTACCTATTAATATCGCCAACGAATAATGGTAATTAACGTCCCACTCTAGCGTCGAACGGAAGTGAAAAAACTTATATAGAAGAAACTTATAGAATGTTTATGCGAATGTACTAGAAAATTACAATAGTATTCCCATACAGATATAGTAAATAGGTGACAAACTCTTCTATGAGAATATGTCGAACTTTCGTGGCGTTAAGTTGTTTAACTTGAACCAACTCTCTAGCATTGGTCACGCTGTTTGTTCGTTGACATCAGGACAAGTTGTGAGGTCGAAATTTTTTTTTCGCTGGTCCTGGTGTCCGACCTTACAGTTTTTGCTAGGGTGTTGTGCTACGGCATTTTGCCGTAATAGAGCTACATCGTAAGTGGGTAGAAAATAAGAGATAGAGGAAAGTTTCAGCCTTTTCGTCAAGATAGATTTGCTTCCAAGCTATCTATTTTGTATATTTTTAATGCAGAACAGCATAGGAACCACACTGCAGACTTGAACACAGCGACTTGCCAGTTCCAGTCCTGATGGGCTCGCACGTGCATGGCCTTTTATTGACAAACTGGCCAAGAAAGTTTTGTTTATCATTTGTAGAGAACCTGTGTTTGCACAGGTTCTCTACAAATGTTCGCACAAAAGTTCTCTACTACAGGTTCGCATCCTCTAAATGTTTATCCTATTTTTAGGAGCCTAGTACGATATGATGCATTTTCTTATCCATGTTATCTTGTTCTTTACACGAAAGCTTTTTTTTTCAGTGAGATGTTGAATAAAGTAAATGGATTTTACTATCATGGTCGGGGCAAAAGTACCGTCTTGTCCAGGAGTAAATCTGTTTTTTGATATGACGATTACCAACTCAACGAAACAAATAACGTTCACCTAATTCACCAACATATTCTTGACCTCATTTATTAGTGAGATAAGAATGAAATTCTGCGATGCTTTACCATTTCCTACATCTTGAGAGATTCTGCAAATACTTAATTTTATATAGTTGGTGCTTCCATTTGATTTGACAATCGTTTACTCAGGTATAGCGATAATAAAATCGTGTCGAAATCGGCATCGTTAATTTTGGCTGGGGTACCGGTATAACATAAGTATCTAAACCTTAAGCAGACAACTAAAAAATAAGGAAGTTAAGGCCTGGTGGAGTGATTGGGCTGGTGTCTTACTCAGTATTTCATTCTCTGACAAGCGGTGAGTATTTATTACATCACAAGGCCATATTTTAACTTCAGTGTTGTATTAACCGTATCAGCAAGTGTTTGTTATTGACGAAACGCTTGTAAACCTAACGAACAATGTAAGCCGGTAGATTAACTGGCAAAGGACAAGTAATAAATGTGCTGTTTAAAAATGAAAGCGATAACATTGTGCTTAGCATGCAACCTGGGACAGTCCTGCTACGGTTGGGCAATTATTAATGTTGGCCATTCTAACGGTGGGGCTTTAAGCATGCTAATTGCGTTCCTGTTTTGCGTAAAAAAATATAATCCGCTACCGTGACACGACTTTAATTTAAATATACATCGACTGCGCAGCTCTAACCAATTATTTTGCTTTAATTTATGTATATATAGTTGGAACCAGAATTGTTGGTACAGAGTAACAGATGGTAGAAAAGGGCCCATTGCTTTTTTCTGTATATGTACTTTATACATACTTTATATATATATACTTTATACAGTGGCTCATTTTACAAATACGCTGAAAACTGCGCCCCCGTTTTTACTCAGATCTAATTTGCATTCACGAGATGCACTGAACAGCTAGGTTTTATAATTATTTACACATGGTTAGCTGATAGTTGGCATCTAAATAAGCGTAAACGACGGTCTCTTACAATTGAGCTAATGCCATCGTCACGCCGTAAGCACATCTTCTCAAATGGCACATCTTTATTGAGCTGAACTTAATTGCCGAGCTACGTACATTTATAAATAGAAAAGCACATGCTGGACGCGTGCTGACGCCAGGCTGGCAACACTGCTTCTGCAGGGCCGTTTAAAGGCCGAACTTTTCTGTTCTAATTAATTTTCATCGCCACGATGACTGTTGTGACGACGGTAACGATTTTATATCATGACAGCTATTATCATGGTCATAACTACAGCCATTGATAATGTTAGTATTCTTGACTTGAAATTGTTCCTTTTCGTTTTCTTTCCCAATCTCTCCTTTCCGTCGGCGTCTATCCTCTGGAGCATTGCTTCTCGACGAGCGGAAGTTGACCGTAAACACCTTTGTGCATCGCCGTTTGACAGCTATCTGGCTATGCGCGACCCTGCCGTAGCGTGCATCCGCGATTGTTGCCGTTACTGATAGCGCCTACGATGATCGGCCGGTCTGTCGTTCGAAGTTGTCAGCAGTAGACAAGCAAGCTAATCCCGCTAGCCATTCGGTGAATCAAAGCCGGCAAAGTCCTGGCAGCACAACACAGGCGCCATGCGGTTGAGGGCGCTATCCTGTCTATTCGAGGATTTCGCGTAGTCCTTCTGGCCTACCGCTTACCTGCGTGTCCGGCCGTCACCAGGAGACGAGTAACTGCTGCTGCTATTGCCTTCGTGCTGATGTTGACATGGCAGCATCTAGACACCATCATCTAGCGACATACTCAAGGACACGCACATACAGACATTCCCAAGAAATCGTGAAGTCAATAAGTTCAACCGTAAAACACAGGCCAAACGATAGGTATAAACCCAACGTGACGTACACAAATGAAACGGCAGCACATCGTCTGCCCAATGTATCGCATTCGACAACGCTATTCTGCGGCGTCGATATTAATGATTCATTTCTGACAAAAGAAGGGAAGAAGCGGCGTGCGACCGATACGGTTCAGAGCAGGCAGTTGTCTGGTCAGAGAGAGACCTGCTCAGCGTTATAGGTAAGTCAAAATGAATTGTTGTGTTCGAATTGTGAGAAATACGAGCTTTGCGTAGCTATGACGGCTGATAATAACGTTGTTGCTGCTAATGCTTGTATTACTTCTACTGCTAACGCATTTCGGGTCTAATCGCTCTCATTCGTACTCGTGACGCTTGCGGATAGTTTACCAATAACTTCACCGGCAACCCCGTCCAACAGCCGTTAACGTTGAGTTGCTCTAACATCGGACCAGCGGGCATAAACTTTGTAAGTTTACGTTAGCTAGGTAAGCACTCATGAGCTTCTTTGGGTGACATTTCGCAGCGCGTACACAATTGAAGCATTATCTTCTTATTGTGATATATTCACTAGTCTTGCTACTATAGGTTAAGCAAAGATAAGTGATACGACAAGTGTACTAATATAATGGGCAGGTATTTATCTCTAGTATTATTACTATTAGCAGTGTTAAGAGTTTGATTACGGTTTAATATTAATTGCGGTAAACGAATCGAATAGATGAAGGGACTGCTTGCCCTTCAGAACTGCTTGCCCTTCAGACGGTAGGTAACCTGTCGTAGAACGACCACCTAACTCGTAGTGGGTTTGTGTTGGGCGAGTATCGACGAGCGTTTTAACTTAACTCGAACAGATTCGCTGATCACTCCGTAGGTAAGCTACAGTCACAAATGAATTGTATGGCATCAAAAGCAATTAGATGCCTGTACATTGACGGACAGGATCCGGCGATTTCTATCAGCAGCTGCTTAACCTCTTTACTCGTCTACGTATGATGAACGCTTGAGCATTACGCATTACGCTGATTGAGGCCGAGCGCATTAGGTAATGCTAACTTAATGGTAGGAGCAATTGTGGTGGTAGTTAACAAGTGTCTACCGCAGGCTCACGTAATTAACTTACGAACACCTCTCTTTCTCTCTCTCTCTCTCTCTCTCTCTCCATAACAACGCTTAGCGGTAGTATTAGCCGTTGACCTCAACGTTCATTCCAGCAGTAGACAGATCAGAATCACTCAGTGAACGCTGGCTATCCTCAAACCTGGAAGATGCACGCTTCCTTTCGTGTGGTATTTCCGAGTGTATAGTATGTATCCGCGTGTATTTAATGCGTTCGAGCACGTGACGCGTGAACACGACGTTCTTATAATGATCTCGAATCACCCACTATCGTAGAATTACTTCCGAGAACAATACCAGCTGAGGCAAGATATGACGCTGATGTGAAGTCTTAGATACAGAACAGAGAAACCGTGTATAAGAGCACTAACCAAAATAACTATTACGGCCATCGTAAGTCAGGCTTCAAAACACGGAAACCATAAAAAGTAGCATTTCGTAACAAGGAGACCACTTTTCAAAAGTGATGTCCTTTCTCCTCTTTCCGACATGCCATGTTACATTAGAATTTTCGATTTGTTCAATCCTCATAACAATGTGTAGGTAAAGCGTAGCCTAAGACGCACTAGGTATCAGATGACGAGTTGATTTTTTCCTTAAGTGCAAAGGACATAATCCACTGCAAGACGACGATTTTTTTTCGCACTTTACGTAACGTAGAGTGAATGCGGCCTAAAATTCTATTTACATAGCCCTCAACACCATGCCACATTTCTTTAGACATGATAAATGCGAGTAGGTATATGGAGACCTTCTCCGCTAAGCGAATGGGTAAGAGTAAAGTGGTATATCAGGTATTTTTTAACCGTCCCAAGGTGTATTCTATATATTCCTGCAATTTGCTTGTTGTAAAGCTGTGAATTCGTTCCTGTAAGTTGAGTTCGCTTGTTACGGAGAGTATAGCCATAAAAAAAATATGCTAATTGAAGAAGTCAATTATAAACGAAACAGGCATTTACAACGATGTAGAGCTTTATCTATTAATTTTTCCAAGTTTATACAATGTCGGACATTTTTGGAAAGTATATTTCCGATGAGAAAAAAAATCGGTAAGTGCTATAGTGCCGACACAATTCAGGTGTCGACAGAACTGACGCTGACTTCTCTAGGACAATGGGAAGTAGTAAGCACGATAGATGGAATTTGTAGTAAACAGCCAATTTGATACCACGCTCGATTTGTTAGTGCAAACATAAGTAATGGTTAATAAACTTCCTCTCAGAAATGTCTATCAATACAAATAAGCTGTGTTGAAAATTTAGACACGATGTATCTATTTTTATTATTTTCGCGCCGTTTGACATCGCGTTGTCCGACAGTTCCCACTGTTTTTTTTTGACACAGAGAGAGACTCACTTGACGGAATTTCAGTTTCGTCTTAATCTTTGTATTCATAAACCATGGAAACTTCACTTATTTGGCTTTGCCGCTCCGTCGCCAACATTTGAGCGTGCGTTTTTACCACAAAGTACTTAACGGGTATCCTTCGAAAAGATAACGAGGCATCTTATCAAGTCCCACCAAAACCGATTCTGGGGAGTAATGTAGCTACACAAATCATTTAGTAATTTGACAAATACGTGAAATTGAAGTCTTTACTACATTTTAGCAATTACCGAAATAAAATATGGACGACGATATCGAGGCTGTATAGGCACAGGGCCACCGCTCAGTCCTTTTTCATATGACGCGAACCTTAATATAGGTTTAAAGATTAGTACGTTATTTTTATAGCTTTGCTCACATAAATTACGCTTGCAGAGTTTTTCGAGGGACTGTTCTGTTCATTAGTGGGGGCTGTGAAGCTTAAACTCGGGTAGTTTCGACTATTTCATGCCTATAGCACAACTTTCAACGTATAGCTTTTACACGGCCAGGCAATGCTAATTAACCTCGCCAGATTAAATTGCGTCGGAAATTTATTTTTGTCTGATCACCCGTCGTGTCCAACAGGACTCACAATCAATTAGGACAAAGATCTCCCATAAAGATGATCCATTCGAAGGGACATTCGTAACGGAAAGATACGACTTAGTGAGCGTTAACAGGTTCTGAAGCAGATTAATTTATATCGCGGAAAAATCAAGGAATCTTGACGGACGACCGCTCATAGTACCGAACATGACCTGAATATGAACTAAATAAAATGTTCAAAATGATCGATCTTGTAAAGCCATGGCATAAAAAATAGAGCGTCTACCAAATTTCGATTCCGCCCTAGTGACGTTTAAAACACTTGTGGTCTAAGGCAAAAAGCTGGACCTTATTTATTAATATTACCATATGGGACGATATAGATTTGCCCAGCTTTTTGCTTGAGCAATGATATCTAAGAAACGATGCTCATTTGGACTGGTAGAACTACAATGGTAGTGAAAAGATAAACGACGTAAAAGTTTCCTATACCATGTGACAGCTACTGTGACCTAATTAATAAATAGCCCATAATGATTTTACTCGCATGTTTGACTCAGGGTTAATATGGAAGCTTAGATTATATTTAATTAGCCAATGATGCATATAACCCCGAACCGCTAACGAAGCACTGGGCTTGAATGATCTTTAGAAGTCGCAGGACACCGACGTTTAATTTTGTTTGCTACTTCACCTTACCTTAAACGGCCTTTTCAATATAGTCCCGTTACTTAGTCACGTTAACCTTTAATGTCCTTGTGTTTGCCGCCCCTTCTCTGCATTTCTCTGCTATTTACAGCAGAGATACCAGTTTCAGGTGTGCTCCATCATTTTAAGCGTGTCAAATAGAAGCAAAGAAGTAACTGTCTTAACGACTACTGCGTGAAGGCAAAAATTATCTCCTGAAGTAGCCACAAGAAGAGTCCTTGGTGCTCCGCCGCCCAGCTCCCCCACAGGAACACCTTCGGCTGCTTCCTGCTAGAGAGCAGCAAAAGCACTTTTGGCAGGTACATTTATGTAGAGAGAGTGCCATCTTGGGAGAATGTGGAGCTACCCTAAATACTCACCTTCCTTCTCAACTACTTTAGCCCACATTGTGGCTTGGTGAATTGCTCATAACGTCGAGTTGCGACTACTATGGATACTGGGGCAATGCTGACTTCAACGCAGTTATCTTTGCCTGGAACTGATGACTGATCGGCACCATACTATATAGATGCTATGCTTTCGCTATTCTGAGGGGCTCCTTCGCTCGATCGGCCAATAGACAGAGCGGATCTGTAGGCACCCACACAGCGAGATTCTTCATCATCGTTGAGCTTTGATTTGACGAAACAGTAGCAACAACAACAACAAAAAACGCACGAGGCTTCCTTTCTCCTGCTTTTGTTGTAATCGCCATTAGTGGCGAAAACAACAACAATACTGGCTGAAAGAAGAGAAATAGCAGTAATAATAATAATATCAACAGCAGAAATAATAACGCCAGCATCAGCGGCAGGGAACGTAGTAACAGAAAAAGGGACGAAAAATAATCGAATCTCAGCGATCTGAAGTCTTGCAGCACCGGAATCATGAACATCATCATTCTATTTATCCAACAAATCTGAGAACTGCTTTGCTCTGCTCTCTGTAGTCCTGTCTTTCGTAGAAGCTCTTAGCAAACAGTTCGCTTATTGTTCGGAATACAAAGATTTATTGTGCAGGAACTAACAGGGTAAAACAAAGAAGAAACGGTTCGTTCCGTTTTATAGCAACAGCTCGTGTGCGCAACATCTTTTCTGCATTGACTACGTGTGCCAGTCTTGCCTGCTGGTACCAGCTGTTATAGTGCTACAAGTTGCAATATTTCTATTTTCATCATCATCGACAAGATCACCCCATCTCCATCATCATCATCATCATAACTGTTTTTGGATTCGGTTAAAGCCGCATTATCCGTTGTCTCTCGTACATCTAATGGCCGCCACCCGCGTGTCTTAGTTGGCGTCGTATTGTGGATGAATCTGTTCACCATTCCTGCCGTCGCCGTCGGCACGGTGTTCGCTGTGTGAGAGTTATGCGTGTGTGTATATCTCATGTGATGGGTGTGTGCCTCTACAAATCGTCTGCGTAGCGGTAGCAGGAGAAGCAGGAACGCTTGTTTCCTTCAGCCGTATTTGTGCGTGAGCCGTCTAGCGCGTGTCGTGTTCCTCAGTTCGTTTTGTTATGCCATTTCTCTTTATTCATTGCTTGATCAATACGTGCGTACGCCTTTTGTCTATGGATAGATATTTGTAGTGTGCCTAAAACCTGGCAGTGTTTGCATCTTTACGTCTCTCTTAGTAAACGGCATGTGTTACTGATTGAATGTCGGTCAGTCTGCCTGCCTGTCCATCCGTTCGTCCTGCCGTCCGTCGATCCGCCCCATCATCGTGTTTGTCGCCTAGTATATTACTGAAAGCCAGCCAGCCAGACAGACAGACAGCTAGCCGGCCGGCCAGCCAGTCAGTTAACTGGCCGTCTGTTTGAAAGTCTATGCAAATCTTCTGCTCGGCTTAACTTCGGACTGGAGTGTTGCCGTTCGTGGTCGTGCTACTTCTGCCGCTACTTTTGCAATTGCTATCGTTGCTGTTGCCCGAGCTAATGGTCGTTGGCGCCGCGGTGTTGATTGAGCTGCGGTAGACGCCTTCTCCCGGCAGCAAGGGCCGTGGCCTTCCCTCGCCTCGCCAGCAGTGGCATGCATTGCACACGATCGACCATTTTGCTCTGTCGCTCTTCGTAGATCGAAGTGTTTGTATTCTCGTGTGTCCGTGCACCTCCAGACACTCGCCTTCTTCCGCCATAAACTGTGTGGACCAATTCGTTGTTGTCCTCGTTAACGCCGTCCATTGTCAACTTCGTCGATTGGACTTAACTAGAGCGGTAGCCGCGGTTATACCCACCCAACGAAACGGCAAAAAGGCTACAATTATTTGGCGCATATACGTGTCGCAACTAAAGCTTTGACAACTGCAGTTATCATAAAAGATTCTTTGTATTGCCACCATCGAGAAGTGAAAGCGATAAACAGTACCGAGTGCTACATATTATCTATGCACAGCGGATTTTCTCCCTATCGGACCATTTAGCAGGCTCAACGTCAAAAACATTCACATCCGACAGTGTTTGTGTCTGTGTGTACGTGCGTGTTTGTGTCAGCTAGCATCAGATATAGCGCTTCATAGGGCAGTGTTAATTTGGTGATCAATATAGCCTTCCAACTTCCAAAAGTTCGTGTATCGCACGACGAGACGCACACTGTAATCTATCCGACAGGTGCTTGCCAAGTTCCAATTAGTAATCTGCCACATTTCACAATGTACCACCGATCACTAAACGTTCCTCGCTCGAGCCGGGACGGCGGAAATGGAACGACGGGCGGCAGCGGTGGACGAAAAGCACTCAGCATTCTAGAACAATCAGGCCAAGCATATTCGACGCAATCAATACTCACAGCAATGGAACGCTTCGTTCGTTCAGTGGATAATATGCATGCAACCATACTTGTTCCATCAAAACTACGGGACATGCAGTTGGATGGGCGGGTACCACCCCCGCACCCGATCAAGGCCTCGGATCCGCATTCGTTCTACAGCGTACTAAATGACGTCAAGGACGAACTCCTTTGGGGTCCTGGCTCAGCACTCCTAAGTAGCGAGCACCCCGGCCAAAGCCTGCAGCTCAGTCGTCCACATTCGTCTAGTCACCAGCCACATTCCTCTGCACCCACGCCGATGTCGACGAACTCGTCGAGTTTAGGCGGTTGTAGCAACAGCAGCAGTAGTAACAGTTATCACCATAATAGTATGAGTTCGTCGCATCCGCTCGGGCTGGCTACCAGCGGACGAAACCACGTGCTTCGTGCCCCTTCGGTGCTCGGCCTTAAAAAGACCGAGAGCTTTGGTTCGGCCGGATCCGACCAGGACACCGACAGCGACTCGCTATCCGAGTCGATGCTCACTGACCCCGAGATGCAGGGCGTTCTCAAACAGGTCTCCGGCTCAAAGACTGACTCTGAATCGTTATCTGACACGACCGGCTCAGAGGAGGGTCGCGATTCCCTCGAACACGGACGCCATCTTGCGTCGGCGTTCCGACACCACCTGCAGGGACTGCACGTAATCCTGCACCAGCTGGCCGATTCGGCAGACTATCTAGCTGCGCGTTATCAACAAGAAATTGAATCAAGCGATCACTGACAGAATGGAATGGGCTTTCGTCAGTCAATGGAGTTTTGGCTTCGGGGCGGCATCCTCATCCTCGTCGTCATCGTCGTCGTCGTTGTCTCATCACCGCACAATTTCCAGACGACGCGAGTTCACTAGGCTTCTGTTTTTAGAGTAGACAGAACCCTTTTGTCTCTACCCGCTTGGTTGGCTATCCTATACCCAACCTTGAAAATTAACTTCAGCTCTGCCCTCTACGCCCCTCCGCCCTCTACAGTGCCCTTAAAGTGTCTGTTGTTCACTGTCGTACCTTCAACCAAGAGAAATTCCGGCGAAATAATAGCAGTAGCGGTATTTTGGAGTACTCTGCTTTCCCCCGTTTATTTTTTTTGTATATGAAGCTATCTATACGATACGACACAATGAAGCAGTTCGAGCACTGCTAACTACATGTAGCAATGCACCAGCGACCGCCGCAATAGCAATGACAACAGCACCCTCACGACCGTCACTGCCGATGTTGGAGCCGCGGTCCAACGCACTAGCAGTTGAAGCAGCGTAAATAAAGGAAGGCATCTTTCAATATGATTCGTCTTCTTCCGATGAAAAGCGAAATTTGCTATGTTACTGTTGCGGTCGCTACCGCCATCTCGGTGCGGCTGCTGAAGCGCCAACAGCAATACACCAATACCTTTTTGCGATTCGTAGGCTTCGTTGTGACTCTTGCCGCAGTCATCTTCTTCGTTGTTGTTCGTCTTCACGTCTATCAGACGACGGCTTCAACATTCGACTTCGTCTTCATTTTCAGCGGTTTTCTTCGGTGCTGCCGCTATTGCTGCCGTCATCACCGTCGCCGTCGTTTACTCCCTAACGACGTGAAGAGGCCGCGCATCTCTGCCGCTGCCGCCGTTTGCTCGCCTGCATGCCTGTCTGCCTGCCAGTCAGTCAATCAGCCAGCTGCCTGCCTGCGTGCCTGTATGTGCCTGTTCTTCAGCAGTAGCAAGCAGCGGCAGTAATAGTACTAGCAGCTGCTGGACCTGCATCAACTGTCCAAAGAATCCATCGATGATGTTGTGAACGCCCCGCTACGCTTTTAGGTTGTCTCAGCCGCCATCGCGGCGGCAGTGTGATGAGATGCGATGCGATGCGATACGATGGTCGTAGTTGTCGCTGTCGTCAAATAGTTGTGGTCGTAGTGAGATGGTAGTATTAGATGCAGCAGCGCTTGTAGTAGAAGTGGTGGTAACGATAGTCGTTCATTCATTCATTCGTTCATTCGTCCGTCCGTCGTTGTGGTTGTAGTAGACGTGATGGCGGTGGGCCTCGCTGATGCTAGAAAAAAGCAGCAGAACCAATATTGGCGATGTCGGCAAATTTGACAGCGGCGGCGTCTGCTCAGTCTGAAGCTGCAGCCATCGTTGATGCTGATGCTGATGCTCTTCTGCAGTTAGCAGCAGCGGTTCTTTTATTAGTCGTTCGCGTCGCCATAGCAACAGCCGCCGTCGTCGGCTCAGTTGATCCACCACGGAAGGAGCTCTAGTGACCTGGAATCATCCATTGGGTCTGGCGTGCACAACAACGCTCACGTTGGTTGTTGCTGTTCCTTGCAACGTCCAAGTGCGACACCACGGCCCCACATCCATTCCGCCACACATCTGCAGCTACATCGTTGTTGTTGTCGTCGTCGTCGTCGTCGTCGTCGTTGTTGTTGTTGTTGTTGTTGTTGTTGTTGTAGTTGTAGTTGTAGTTGTCGTTGTTGTTGTTGTTGTTGTCGTCGTCGTCGTCGTCGTCGTCGTCGTCGTCGTCGTCGCCGCTTTTGCCAATCGAACAACACCGAAGATTACCCACTCCGTTTCCCCTCAGGACAAACTCCTGGTCAGCTTCGCACTCGTCCAGAGAGTGATCACACAGACGTCGTTCATTCAGTAATTGCATGTAACAAACGAAAACGATCAACGAACTATAATTATTCTACAGAAGACCATACCCAAAAAGAATTAGATAGCTAGAGGGCTGCCGTATTTTTTGGTGTTTTCACCCGTTCTAAGAAGACAGTGAAAAAGTAGCTCAGCTAAAAGAGAGAAAGAATCAGGCTACAAAAATCAATAAGGACATTATGATTAGAGATTTATCCGGTCTTCATAAATCCATTATTCAAAGCAATATTTAGGAATCACGATTAAAACCAGAAGGAATTAGAAAGAAAAACATTAGCGTGAATGTCGTATTGGTTCTGCAGAGTAGCGACCATTACCTGTGTGATTTAAAACTAGCGTTTATAAACGAGGTGTAGAAAAACAGAGGGATGTATAGGCGAATGATGCGGGGCGTGCTAGTACGTCAGGTAACCGTGCTCAATTGTATAGAGGAGACAAGGAAAAAAACAGAAGTTTTAGAAGAGGGCTTCCGAGCTAACGGGCCGGCCCTGTTTCCACAGAGACTAGACAGATGCGAACTGTTATTTTTATGAATTATATATATATATATATATATATATGTATATATATAATTAGTATATACGACTATTGTTACTATGACGAGGATAATGAGTGTGAGTTTATTAATTTTAACGGTGTTCTCAATAAGCGTATCAATGTTGTTCCGAGTTAAAAAAAAAAAAAGAAATCGCCAGCACGGGCTAGCGGCGCAGATAAATGTTAACGTTGTTCAATAGTTGTTATCATTATACAACGAAGCGTATGTAACAAATACACAAATCTAGCGACAAGACCAGCCCAATGACCAGCGCGTTGGTAGCTGAAAGTCGAATTGATGCCTGTACGATTGCGAGGCAACGGCATTTTGCTTTGCCGCAAAAGTAGCTGACTGCTACAATTAATCAGCGACAGATAATTCAGACTGACTTGATTCAACGATACGAACCCCAAACAGATACACTACAATCAATACACACGTTATACATAATAATTACATATGTGAGTGCGCGCGTATGTGCTTAACACCACATCGAACTAACAAATGAGAATGTTGAAGGAAAGGCGAAATGTAGGCCATCGTAGACCATGGGCAAACGCATAATTCAGGAGAACAGGTAATCGTTGGGATGATTTCAAACGGAAAGGCTGGAGACAATGTATGTTGATCTGCGTCCAGCCGACGCTTGAAGGACGTTCGTAGGTCGAGCTGACAGGATTAACACATTACCCTGAGGACACGTACGTTCCAGTCTTCGGTTTAGCTCAGCCTGTCGAGGTTGGCCGACGACTTCCGTACGTACGCATATCGAGTAGGCTTCCGGTGAACGTCAAATAGAGACCTAACTAATAAACGTAGCTTTTTCTAGGACGGATGGACGGATATCATTTACGATACATATAATGGATAATAGTTAATAACAAGACGAGGACAAAGAATAATGAAATAATAAATCGACAAACGTGAGAACGTGCGGGTGTGATGATATATACGATTGTTGTTGATCATTAGCAAATACATGTTCCAGAAAGTCGGCCATTACTACTAAGTGTATTTAGTGGCATCATGTATAATAATGAAGATGATAATAATAATAATATTTAAGTCTGCCTTATTCACTTATATCGTCAAAACCAGCCTGCGATCAGGCTGCATGTCCAGTATTCGTTAATAAAGGGTGTACATTTTGCCCCGATACATGGACGGCGTGACAAAATGATGATTGTTTATATAATCCCGCTTAGCATACATTATGCTACTGATGTTACTACGGCAACGGTTTTCAATTGCTAGTACTACGTGGGATATCTGCTAACACACGCTGATGTTGCCTGTAAAGTATTCGATTTTAGACGAAAGATCGATGGAGGTTGTCGAACGTATTAACTAATATATGCAGCGTATTGAAATGGGTGAATCATACAAAAACAGAATCTTAACGAAGATGAAGGAGACAATAAACCACCTATTGTGTATAGTTTTTTTACGTAAACAAAAATTTCAATACTGAAACAATTATTGTTGCATGACCATATACTATTAAGGCAAGAAGATGTGCGTACCTATAAACTGGATAGTGCTCAACAAATAAAACTCTTGTTTGGCTTAATAACATTTTATTAAAGCAATTCTTTAATAAACTGAGGTAGCCAAATATATTTGCTTTATTTAAAGGAATTGAAACTTAGAAGGATAATGTTTGTCAGGGACCTGTATAAAGTTAAAAAGAAGTACTAGTTGACATTTCAAAATTAGCAACTACCAATTCGTGGCACTTGCTAGCTTTTCGTTTTTACGATAATACAATAAAACCTAAAAAGCCAAGCTGTAGCTAGAAGGCGTAAATTGTCGTAAAGTTAATTAATTATCACGATAAACAATCAATGATGTATCTATTTTCCTTCTGCGCATATCTGCCCTATATTTTGTGCCTGTATATCCACAACTGTGTGGCAGTATATATTTATTTGTATTAGATCGGAAAAAAAGTAGAAATCTTTGTCTACACATCTACTTCGAGCATCTACACTGTGTATTGTTACCTCACTGTGCATTGCTTGTTTGGTGACCTTGTGATTTACACACTGTTGTTGTAGCCGTCTGGGTCGAAAAGTTCAGCTTGCGCCAACAAAATAGTAAACAAACAGACAGCATTACGGTGAACCCAGCACTACATAGTAATAGAAAGTAGAATCACACATGTAACACGTTTTTCAGTATTATTTATATATTATACACTATAATATTATATATATATATATATATATATATATATATATATATATATATATGACTTTGGGCGAAAGCTGGTGGCAAGAAATAATATGTGCGTTAGTAAGTGCGATGCGCTGTATCCACACGGGGGGAGAGGGGGTGCACAGCAATGGAGGTGATGCGTTTATAATCATTTCAACCCCAAAAGCTTCCTCGCAGACGCTTACTGCTGCTGCTGCTGCTACTACTACCAATGGCTAGCAACAACAACAGCAGCGGCAGTATCGGTGACGTTATTTACTTCGAGACCTAGGCAATCGACGCTGCTCTGCTTTTGCGTTGGATCGTAAAATGGGCTTTTGGTCTTCTAATGTACTGGGCCTGTGTGACGCGCAGCATAGCACAATCAGACAGGAAGGCAGATTGGCAAGTAACGTAGTAAAGAATTAAGGAACGCAGTGGAATCCAAGCGTAAGCCCCGGTAATAGTTGAAGTATCGTGATGGAATCATTGCTTGAAGCGACCAGGCCAGCGATTGGTGGTATTTGACTAATTCGTTCGTTGAATAATTGTCGGTCGGTCAGTTCATCCGTCGATTGGCGACTAAGAACGTCTGCGAGGCAGACGCAGCAGCGACGCATTAGCGACAGGCATGCGAACGCATCGCACAGGCCACAACCCACGATATCGGCGCTATTACCACCCGCCGGGCTGCGATACGACATCCAAGAGTAAAAGTAATGGCAACGCCAGCGAACGGTGGCAGACAGACGCAGGATGGTAACAGCGTCGGCATCGTTGGCCCCTGTCTCTGCCTCTGCTGCAGAAGAGCGGTATCAGTAGTGGCATCAATGCCGCATCTGAATGACCCGATTTCTTAGTCGACAAACGAATACCACCGCCGCGGTCGTCACTGCTACAACCAAGAGCAGCCCGACAGACGAAAACTGTTTGTCTGTCACTTTTCCGAACTGAACAGACCCTAGTCAGGCAACAACAAGCTGGATCCGCTCGTTCTCTTAGCAATTGCCTGCTCCTTGCGAGCTGCCATTCGGCTGCTGATTCCGATGGTTATGATGATGATTGTAGTGGTACCTTGTTCCCGTCGGAGTCTTAGCAGCTCAACTACATTGGCGAGCTCCGACTGGCTTCAAAAACTGCGAATCTGAATCTGTCCGCGACGTTACGGCCACGTCGCGGGCAGGCCCCAGCCCCTGCGCTTTCTTCCCCCTTTCGTCCCGCGGCCGCCGAAGTCGTCGTCGACGATCGGTAGTAGCTAGTGGCGGTCCGCAGCCCGCTGCCCGAGGCCATCGGTAGCTGGGCCACGTAATGTCGCGAAGCTGTGATGTGCGCAGTTTACAGTCAAGCATCGCCTTGTGCTTGGTAGGCTCTTGCGGGGGCCCAACGCCCGATACAGCAATGCAGCCGCCATAGCTGCTATCGCAGCCATCACTACAGTTTTCACTCTGGGGGCTGGTTGACTCGTCGACAGCGAAACTATAAAATCCATAACCGACAACGGCTAAAGTTGATACGGCCGCTGTTTTTGGCGCTCGGGATCGGTTATATTTTTTTCGCCTCGTTGCTGTGATGCACCGAAGTCTGAAGGCCGACTCGAACTATCGCGTAGTCGCTAAGACATCGGCCGACGGCTCAATCACGTAACGTCCCAGAAGCAGAGCCTGACAGAGATGCTGAAACGAATGTTTGTTGTTGTTATTATTGTTGCTGCTGCTGTTGTCGTTGTTGTTACTCTTCTTATTCATTATCGCTATTGTGAGTTACTTTTATCTTCAGCTCTAAACTGGTCAGCCAAATGCCACGAAGTCGAACCAATATCTCAGCCAAGATCGTATACTGCAGCGAACTCACTTCCGTGCTTTTTAGGTCAAGAACATAATTTTCTTAGGTGAAATTTGTACTTTTGTCTAGGCAATGCACATGGTTCACATTGTTCCGGTAAATAATATTATACCCAAATATAGATACTTGTAGCTTTTAAAGAAAGCCAGTAACAGCAGGTAACATTTCTCAGAAGTTCATTTGTTCACTGCAGTAGCCCAGAGAACGAGGTTTTGTTCGTAGTGAA